TGTGAACTTGAAACCAAAACAGCTTTAAATTTCCTGCATTTCTTGAGCTCACCAACAGTGACATCACAAGTTTTTTTTTTCTGACAATTATTGGACAATTTTCCCGACCCCTCTACGCTTATGATGGATAAAAAACAGCGATTTTAACATTCCAATATCTCCGCAATGCTTCGTACAATTCGTTTTAAACTTCAGAATATGTTTGTTTTATACTTACTGGACACATTGAACTCAAACGAAAAAAATGTCTAAGTTTTGGTTCATTTGACCTTTAAGATGTTGCTATATTTGGAAAAGTGCTTATTTAATGTTTATTTGTTCAGCGCAGATAATCATAGTCCCAGATAACCAAAGTTAACACTATTTTCTGGCCGCCATAACGGTGTACCACAGAACACCAACATGGTGGCTCCATACTAGGCTCTGTAAATTTCCGTGGAATATTTCGACGAATGTCTCAACTTTGGGACAACGCACACACCTTAAACTTGGAGAACTGTCTTCTTTATTTATCTTCTGTAATATCACAATTTCTTGACTTAATCTACTGAATGGTTTTTGATATTATTTTTCATTGCATGACAATAAAAACGCTCTATAGGCCCTCTTCTTTGATTGTTTAGTAGTGACATCTACGTTGATTGTTGTATTTGATTTGACCTTCCTAGTTTGACAAGGTAGTTTCGATGTTTATCAGCTGACTAAACATGGCATAAGATTCCTGGTTTTTATTATTATTATTATTATTATTATTATTATTATTATTATTCAATTATTATTATTATTTAATTATGTTTTATTATTTTTATTTTTTTATAGTGCAGCTAACAAACTTGACTATTTATAATGGTAATAGGACTGAATGGAGTCCAATTCGGTCTGTAATCACATGAGTGATTAACAAAATCGGACAACCGCGAAGCAGGAGTTTATTTGTTAATCACTAGTATGATTATAGACTGAATTGGACGACGCGAAGCCCAGTTACCAATTAATCAAAACTATGACAAAATTCGAGAAACGAACAAACCATCGATTGAGCTTGATATGTGGGAAAATACAGAATACATGTGCGATCAAGTGAATGAAGGCAAACTTTAACACTTGTGTTTCATTTATTTCCATGAAAAAGCATTCTCTGGCTACACTGAAATACCAAAGTGTCTCAAATGTCTCTCGTCTAATGACAAAATTTTTCTTGGTCCAACCAGACTGGCTTTTTGTCAGGTCAAAACTTGTCCCTGGCCTGACAAATGACCTGCTTGTAGACAAAAAAAAAATTAATTATTGCAGGCTTGGTTGTGTATAATAATATAGATCCAACATGTAAATCAATTCAGTCAGTTCATTTTTGGCTTCTACATGTACATGAACATAATAGTAAATAAAAATGTGCCTGTACTGTACCAAATATCCAACAAAAAATAATTTTTTTTTAGCTCAACATATTCTGTTGAATTTATGTTTCAGGTATTCATGTGGCTAAATATGATTTAGGCAAAGTTAGACTCAAACCAATGCAGTCAGCGGTTTCCCCTTTTACAGTACGTGACTTGCAGGGCAGCCCTTCAGATTTATACAGTTTTTCACTGACAGGTTCCCACTAGTTGCATTAGATACAATGTAAATAACAATAATTAAGTGTAAACAAAGGAAACACTACTGTTGTAACCCTTAATGTAGTTTTGGATATAACATTTACTGTGATTAGAACCAAAGTATCTGTCCAAAGCTACTCAGAGTTCATTTGGGTTTCCTTTTATGACACTGTAACACAATTGCAGACATGATGTAGGTGTCTTCAATCAAGCAATGGTGAATACCTATGATCTTTTTGTATTTTTTTCAATGGGATTTCTTTTCATTAATTAATTTTGTCTTCCATGGATCAAACAGCCATATGTGCAGCACATACTCAATCCATGTACATGTACAGTATAACTACAAGATTGGTAGTATTTGATGTGAGAAGCAACTTGGCTTAGAGTTCATGAAGATTCCTGCCCATTTTGAATGCAGGTGGCAGCTGGGCACAAGTGTTTATCTTGAGGATCTTTGATCTTTTCTGAATAATTAATGAGAATTGCTTCATTCAATTCAAGCCAGGTAATGAGATATTTTCTGGCAGAGCACGCATGCATTAAATGTCCTTTGGAGCTTTAGAAGTGTGCTTGTAAGAATGTTGGATATATCGTGTTTGCAGGCCTCAAAGCTTCAAGTTAGGCCAAGTATGTTTCTAGGTTTAATTTATGTTATTTTTTAGTTAATTTATTTCTTAAAGCTAGAATTAATTAGTATTTTGGTTAAGATGCAATAGTGACTTTGTCCTTAAGATTTTCTATTGTCACATGTAAGAAATTCGTGCATAAATTCTAAAAATGTGTTATATAATTACCCTTAACTTGTTTTCAATATGTTGCGGTTGAGTAATATTATCTGGGACTGTATCTGTAATGGGATACTAAATCAAAATTTCTGTTTAGATTTTTTGTAATGTTTGCCACCAGTAACCCTCCTGCTTGTTGTGTTTAGTTTTCATTTATAATCACTGTATTGCCTTAGGATAGTGGCAATGGTTGTACTGTGCATTTGTTTTCAGTACAGTAAACACTGTTGAGTTGTTTCAAGTTGACTACACACTTACAATGTAGTTAACATACATGTACATGTTACTCAACACTACAATTTTGAGTTTCTATTCATTTTTGTCGTGAAATATTTCTCACACACAGCTGGGAGCCATGCCAAACCAAACCACGCAGCCTGACCTTCCAGCCATGCGACCTGAAACCACCCCATACACTTACATTCAGACTCCCAGCCATGTGTGAGAAAACCGTTTTCCATGATCGAAACCGAGAAAACATTAGAGAGCAAGCTATTGGCTTAAACAACATTGAATAAAAGGCACTGTCAATGTCCATCCTTAATTGACTTTGAACATGTAGAAATGGGCCTAAGGACCCATTTACTTAATTGTTCCGAGCCTTCTCACTTCTCCAGATGTTGGCATAAACAACAGAATTAAAAAAAAAAACTGATATTTTCCCATACCCTTCCGAATTCCTGTTTGACTGCCTAAAACTTCTAATGAATGGGAAACTTGCACTTTTTCCCCCCTCCAAGAAAATTCTACTCACAATTTTTGGTCAAGCAAAAAGCAACACTCAAGTTTGTGAACGTTTGATACAGTACACCGTAGCTTTACCTTCTACAGTTAAGTGTTATCCTGAAGTTGCTTACTACTAAATAAAACTTTTTTTTCCGTTCATTAAGTTCATTGATACCATTCAAAGACAAAAGTAAAGTTCATGATGTGCCGTCACCCGCATATTGAAAATTTCGTTCATTGAGTAACTGCTGACCACTAGAAGTGCAGCTTACAAACCTGTCAGGCGTTCCATTTGGTAACACCAGCCTGATTGATCTTTATCCTGCTTCCGCAGTTGGGTTGTGCTTGATTAATTACAAACTAGAAAAGTTAACAGGTCAGCAATTTCAAGGGGAGCTTTCACCGTCTTCCCCCTCTGGAAATTCAGAGCTGAAACCCCCTCCATGCGTTTGGAAATCCAAACTTCGTAACCCCTAATGCCTTCAAAATTCCAGTCCAAGAAGCCCTCCCCCCCCGCTCCCTTGGAATTCCAAGATGCTGCCCGTGGTAGGGTATGGATATTTTCTGGAATCACCCAATTGAAACAACACATACAATGATAGTACTGCATGTATAGTGCAATTATAAGTCTTGGTTTTCCATGCACTGGTATTTCTCAGATTGCACAGCTGGGACTTGGATGTGGACACAATTTGGGCTGGGAAATGGGCTTTATACCCCCCCCCCACACTTTTAAAATGTCTAGTTATGAGGGGGGCAAGGGTATTTTTGTGACACCGTGATCCTGTTTCTTTCTGCTCTGTGAATCATGATTTGATAAAAAAATGTTCTGTGAATTGTGATTGAAGTGTATTCCGTGAGGCGTGAAATGCAAAAGTCCTTGGCTGTGAATCATGAATAGATAAATAAATCGTGAATGTCTAAAGTTGAGTTTGTAGCTGAATTTCACTGCATTGTGATCAGATTTTTTCCGTGACCTTAGTGAATTTAACACTCGAGTCAAGCTGACTGAGAGTAGCGACAAGCAAAACATTTTGACAGGTTTAAATAAACCCGTTGATTTCCTGATCATGGTATTAGCCAATGAACCCGTCTCAATAGGATTTTTGACTGATGAGCCATTGATGAACAACATGTGCGGACTTGGTGTAACTCAGACTGATAAAGATCATGGCTGCTGAATCCGACAAAGTCTTCACAGTTGTTGCCTTTGAATATGTATTGTCCAGCAGATTCTGCTTACCCAAAGGACAAGATCCACCTTGAACTTCCTGCAGCATAGAGCCCGCTGTTCCACCAATCATCGACGAACAAGAAGAGCAAGAGCAAGAAGTCACCTTCACTCATCCTGAAGTGTCTGAAGCCCCCAAAGTCCCAGAAGATGATGTGCAGTATGACACAGACCGTGGGCCTGACGATACCGTGGAAAGTGACAACGACGACGATACTCTGACCTTCTTAAGAGCCTTAACAACTCGCAGGGGAAGAGCTGTCCAAGTCCCATATGTCTCTCAAGAGTTCTCTTAAAGTAAAACCAACAAATCAAGATTTCAAATATCACCTTTCCAACAGCTGTAAATTATTGGTAAAGTTAAAGAATGCACTTTTTTGTACAGATTTTGATTACAGTTTCGTGCACATGTTCGAGAATTGTGAAAAGTGAATTTTTTGTTTCGTGATTCGTGAAATTGAAAATTTACTATCGTGACTTTGTGACCAAACCCCTCCTTGCCCCCCCTCCCCCCCCCTCAGTTATTGGCTTCTTTTGAAAAAAAGTTGGAAAGCAGTTAAACAAATAACATTTTTACTACTGATGGGTCAAGTGTCTATACTGTAGTTTTGTCTGATAAAATTGCTACAAGATTTGTGTTGCTATTCTTTGTCTCAGATCTAAGTGAAATAGATGTGAATACATTCCTTGGCCCATTTCTTGATGTCATCCGGTCAGAAGACACAACAGGGCCCATCACTGGTGTTGCATTGTCATCTGTCAACAAATTTCTGTCTTATGGACTTGTTGGTATGTTCACAGACCTTGTTTGCTACTATCATGTACAGCTAAACAGGCCTACAGCTAAGTGGAATTTAAAATACATGTTTTTGTTTTGAGTAGTAGCAGACAGGTCAGCTTAGTTGGCACAAAAGGACATCATTATGTTCATGTACAGAGTATGGTGAATCAAATTATCACCTACGGTTTATTAAGAGCTTAGAGTGTGATGACTATGAATTACACCATACCGCTGCCTTGAACAGTGACTTCATGACCATGATTTGACCATGTCTTAGCAGTAGTATTTATAATTTCTTTTATGTAACTGTGTGTTACAGATCCCACCAGTGAAAGTGCAGCATCTGGTATTGAGAACCTGGCTGATGCTGTCACTCACGCCAGGTTTGTAGGAACAGACCCCAGCAGTGACGAAGTTGTGCTCATGAAAATTCTCCAGGTACAGTGCATGATCAGATTTTGAAATTTTTTACACTGCGTCATTTTAGTTCAAGTGCCTGATATGAAGTAAAACCATTTCATTTCCTTTTTTTTTTGCTTAATAATGTGAGCCATGAGAAAGGTCTAGAAGAGTGATTACATTACATGTTCAACAAGCAAGATTTAAGTTTTAAAAATAGTCAATACTTTAAATACACATTACAAGTGAGGATAATTAATCATACATCCAGAAGCTATGGTAAGGGCTGCATGTGTGTTGGGCTAAGATCATATCAAAACAAAATAACAAGGCCCTGGCCAATGTTCTTTATTGTGTATTTAACAATATTTATTATTCCATGAAGAAGCACTGGATATGAAATGACAGATCTATAGACTATTAGGCACATGGCACGGTCAATTTGTCTATAATCATCTCACATCCAGCAAGTGTGAGTGGAATAATTGTTTTGTTGAAAACATCCCCAAAAATATAGAAAACTATGATAAAATAAAATTAAAAACAACCCTAAAAATTACATGTTCCTGTGCATTTACCATTATGATAATTTATGTATAGAGCATAGTATAATAATATTGCTCAAATAGCATGATACATGTAGCTAAGCCAAGGAAAATTCTTGAATTGCATTATCCAATGATCCAGTTTTTAATAAGGAATGTTAATTCCAGGCTCCTTATTTGAGATGACTTATTATCCTCTAAGACATATGTGTCTTATAGTGTACAATGTTAAGTTTAACGTAGTGAGTTGACCAATTCTTAATTGTATTCTCATTCAATTTGGAATTAATTTGCATTAGAGTGCTTTGAAAAAGCTGAAATTGCACGAGCCACTTCATGGGGTGCAAATTCAGCTTTTTGAAAACCTCACAGATGCAAATTAATTCCAAATTGAACAAGAAAAACTGTATGTCTTGATTACTTGATAATATAGACATGAAAAAATTTGCGTGGAGGAAGCACCAGAAGATCTTTCTTAAATCCATTTTTTTCTCATCTAAAAAAACTTTTTCAAAGTTTCCATACAAAATTTTCGTCATCATTTTATGTGATGTCATTGGCTTAGAAAATTTCCTATTGTCTTTCAGCCAATCATAATCCAGAATTACAATACATGTGTAAATCTGCACTGGTGTTTACACTTGAACTGCACGGCTCTCAGCCAATCAGAATCAAGTAATTTTTTCATGTATATTATTATGCATGTAACTGTTAAGCAAGTTGGTACATCAATTTATTTTACCTGTCAATCAAAATAATGAAAAACAATATCGAAAATCACTTTTGACACATGTACAAAAATATATTTGTTTACAAGTGGCTGTGATTGTTTGTATTAGGTGCTAAGAACACTGCTGCTGACGCCTGTTGGTGCACACATGACAAATGAATCAGTTTGTGAGATCATGCAGTCTTGCTTCAGGATTTGTTTTGAAACAAGACTTAGTGGTATGTGGTGTTAATGATGTTCTTTAAGAAGTCAAATTCATTTGAAAGAATAGTACACTATTACAATACATACATGATATGTATATGTATAATTATTTGTTGTAGTTTATTTTTGATCTTGATTACTGTTAATTTTTTGTGAGTGAGTTACCTTTGTTCGATCTATCCCTCAGGGCTGCCAGGAAATGAAAACTTCAACTAGAGAGACAATGTCAGATAGTGCAGAGTGCAATTTACCGCTCTGATACAGTAGTCACACAGGCCTTCACCCCTGTTCTCTCCCTTGGTAGTCAACTAGGCCTTTTCTCCTTTGTAGAATATGCAGAGCGCACAAAAACATGATAAAGCATAATCTTAGCAGCGTGTATGTTTCATGTCAAGGCCCAAAAATAACTTACAATCACCTTTTGTCGAGATGGTTTTGAATTTTATCATAGTGTTTTACTTTGGGTTTCATTCATTTTAAATTCAATGATACATAGATGTAGAAAATGTGACAATTTTACTTCTCACGCTGTAGTGTCGTGACTAATTCCACTAATTCCGCACGTGTGGCATGTATCAGAACACGTTACGAAATATCAATTGTTCTTGCTATTTATATATAGCAGCTGTAATGCATGCGCAGTGTGTGTGGAAACCAATGGTCAATTCATGTATTAAAGTAAGAGCTATTTTATTTACCGCGACTCTACATTGGTGATGAGGATAACCTAAAGATTTCATCGAGGATTTTGTCGAGGTTTTCGACAAGGCTTTCTCTTAGTGATGCCAGGAGGCGAGACAGATGGAGTAAGCGGTGGTTCGAGCGGTGCTTCGAGTAGTTCAGGAAGAACTTTGGTTGCTTTAGATGTCGGTTGTTTGGAACCGTGTAATCCAAAAGGTGAACGACATAGTTTAAGCCAACGGTGGAAGAGGTGGAAAAGAGCATTTAATCTGTACGTTACAGGGAAAGGAGTCTCGGATGACGCACAGAAAAGAGCTCTGTTTTTACATGTCNGAACGGTACAACAGCGGACCACCGAGGGAACAGCTACTTGCCGGAACAATGGAACAGTAGGAGGATCGAAATGCACCAATCACAGCCGACCTTTGTGATATAAACGATACCGTGCAATCAGTCGACGTTATCGCCTGAAGAAGACTAGCAGTAAGTAGTCAAAACGTCGCGATCTACATCTCAAGTGACTACATCGTGAGACAAACGATAATACACTTTATTATTGCATCTACCACGATGAATAACAACAACCTTTTCCTCGACATATAAAAAGTTAGTTGCACCTGTTGAACGCATGTATTGAAAAATTTTCTTGTCAACGATGTTATGTATAATTTGCTTCCAGAGGTTACAGTTTTTGTTATTTTAATGTTTCTTGCACTAGCTGTTCAGGTTGAGATATTAGCAGCGAAACTGTTCTTTGTAAATTGCGCTTAAATCAACAAAATAATGTCAGAGAAGAGAATCAACATAAAGTCGCACGAAAGCGGCAAAAGTTTGCCCAGAAATAGAATGCACAAGCGAGAAAGCAAGCGAACAAATGAATTTTGAAGTAACCCGACTAAAGTTCATCAGATACGACAGTACTTTCTTCGTTCGCAGAATGTATCCTTAACAATCTACAGTTTTTATGCTCCATGGTTGCGCTCAAAGATATCCGTTTAACATTGTAAGACTGCTAGTTTTTCCTGAAATGATCTCGCTGACTCATCCGTTCAACCATTTAAGCTGTCTGTTTGTGAACTTTGGTTAACCGTTCAACCATTTAAGCTGTCCGTTTGTGGACTTTAGTTGACCGTTTAACGGTTCAAGCTATCCATTTTTGGACTTTGGTCAACCATTTAATGTTTCAAGCTAACCGTTTGTTTTTTTGGTTGACCGTTTAACACTTTAAGCTATCCGTTTTCTGACTTTGGTCAACTGTTTAAATTTTTTGCTATCCGTTTAAACGGTTATGGAAACCGTTTAAACGCTTGAGTTAGCTGTTTAGTATCCATTTAGAACCATTTTTCTTGACCGTTTAACGAAAAAGCGTTAGTGTCAGTTTTCCCAAAGAAGGTCACATTTTTGGTCCAAGGGCGACAGCAGTCATTGTGAAAATTCTCCATCCTTTCAAGTATCCTAGACCTGGAGTGATGTCTTTCAAATAAAAGTAAACTTTATTCACCAACTGTCTGCTATGTTTACTTGTCGAAATGGCAAAGATGGTGAGCTTAGTAACTGAGCTCTAGTGGGGTGAATATAGCGTCATGTGATGAGCTTTTGAGCCAATCAGAATGTCCAATTCTTATATTCACCTCTGGAAATTGTACTAAGAAATTTTATTTCTGTTATCAGGCATAATTCTGAGGCCATGATTCATATGGGACTATCTCTTTTAACTGTTGCACTTGAGTCTGGTTCTCACCACATTGGAACTTTTCCATCACTCATGAACTTTGTCAAGGATGACTTGTGCAAAAATCTCTTCTGGGTAGGTAGACCTCAGGGAATGATCAATTCCCAGTATTTTTATCTTGGCCCATTCCAATGCTTCATAAAAATTGAATAAATGCAGCAAAGGTGAAATGTTGAGATGAGTGTGGGCAAAGAAAATATCTGAGTCCCTGACAGGATTCAAACCCATGACCTCCTAGATAGAGGTTGGGCACTCTTACCACTGAGCGACACACATCACTGAGCTGTAAACTTACCATCTTCCATTATTTACACATGACACTTTCAACATTGCTGATCCTAACAGTTGCAGGACGCATGTCACATATGCACGTAGTAAAATTGCTTGGCTCACCAAGAGACTCTTTGTAGCTCAGTGGCAACATTTCATTTATTTCAAAGATCTTTCTATCAGCTTGAGACAGTTACCTCTCAAACTCATTAATAATTCATCAAATTAAAACAGAGAAAATCACAACTGAGAAGGAGGTTTGGATACCTGGTCTTAATTAGCATAGAGTTTGACAATTTTCCTTCTTTGTTTACTCCTTAGTTTTTGTTTCGATTGATCAAACACTCCAGACAGTGTTTCATCAGCTATCCAAACACCTTGACTTTCATCAAAAATACTCCGCTGCATGTCATATTTTCAACTCTCTTCTCGGTGTTTGGATATCCTGATGAAACACTCTCTCTCATGTTTGATATAAACGAAACCAACTGGCCTAGGGTGAGATAAATCTTAAAATGCTGAACATTGCTGCATCACTCATTAAACATCATTGTACACCTTGTACAGTATGACATGTATGTATTTAAGTTTATCTCATAAATAAATTACTATTATATTGAACAATATTGCATTGTTTTTCCTCAGCTTGTCCAGTGTGATTTTCTTGGTTTGTTTACCATGGCTTTGAGAGTGTGCTTCCTCTTGTTTGAAGGCCTTCGAGCTCACTTGAAATTCCAAATGGAGGTTTGTTCAAAATATAACTAACATAATTTTGCTACCTCCCTTTGATTATTCCCCCCTGGAAACAACCATAACAGCAAAACTGTGTCTAGTTTGTTCAGGTCTTCTAGTGCTTAATTTCTTAAACAGAGAGAAAATCACATCTGATCCTGTGCATGATCCATCATAACTTGTGTCACAGGTAGTCCACAACATGAGAAGTGAACATGACTGTACATAGCTGTACAAAAGTCATTTCCGAAAGTTAGATTGAATGATTTAACTGGTTATAAAATTGTACATAATGTTGGAAATAATATAGTTTATTACATAGACTTGAGTGTCATACTGGAAAATACACCTCTCATAAAATTCATACAAAACTACATCCAGGACCCAAGTGGTGTATTTTCCTAGTGAAGAAATTGATGATGTTATTTCCCACTTTTTCATGGTTGTACAGAGTCAGTTTGTCTATATTAATATTGAGAAAAATGTTACACAGTGGCTTGCAGATATGAATATATGTTTAAAACAATATTTCACCACTCGAAAATAAGATTCATATCTTCGTGCTGCCATGTATTGTCCTCCACATAATTTCAACTTATAATGTACCACAAATGAAGCCTTTTTGTTCAAAGTTTGGTGATTTCTGGTAGCATCAAAACTGAACTGAGATCACTTTCCTCCCTTGCCTTACTACGAGTGGTATGCCACAGGTGGTATGCCCACAGTCATTGCTGTATGTTGTGGTGGTGTTGCTGATAACATGATAGCATAACACATTGTTAAGTCTTGTACATTACTGTAACTGAAGAGAATTGATTTGCATTTCAGTAAGGTGACTTTGGCAAAAATCATGGTCAAATGTAACTTCTCTCCACCCTGTGGTGACTGTGTTGTTCCAAAAAATATCCATACCCACACTATGGAGGGAATTGGAAATTCTAAATGGGTGGGGGGGTCAAAGACCTAGGCAATTCCAGAAGGGATGGGGGTTGAACGGTCGCTTTAGTTTCCAGATGTCCTTCAATTCAATACAGATTCAAATATCGATCTAGTTGTTTAAAAATCCTTTCTTACCTACTAGTAGATCTTTCACATGAAAAAATAGCAGCTTGAATACTTGTATTTGAATCACATTATATTTGAAATAAATTTTCTTTCTTCAAAAAGCACTTTGGAAGCTAGCAAGTGTGAAGAACATGCTGTTTTGTGGAAATCGCCGCCATTACTTGTTACCATGTCGTCCCATGTTGTCCCATCAGATTGGTCCAAAGCCCTCATTACTGCAGTCTTTTAGAAAGAAAACAAATCAGATCCATCCAACTATCACCCAATTTCGCTGACTTCTATCTGCTGTAAAGTAATGGAACACATTGTTCTTAGCCATATGGCTAAACACTTATCTAGTAACAACATTTTGATCAACGAGCAACATGGTTTCAGACAGCGGTTTTCTTGTGAAACTCAACTGATATCAGCTATACACGATTGGGCCAAGTCAATCAACACTTGCAGCCAAACCGA